GGGTGAATTTGATAGTGATGCAGTACTTGTTCGCCTAGGTTATTTTTGTGCTCTTCCATTCAGTACACAAATATGTGTAAGTGCCCAATATGAGTCCATTAAATGCTTCAGATAAATTAGACAAAGATGGTCTCTGATCTCAGGTGTCTTAATTTCCAGTGGACATACATTGTCTGACTGTCCTATATCTTGTCTCTTTCACTTGGCTACTTTTTTTTTTCCATCATGGCTACTTTGCTATGCCAATATATGCAAATTCACTGCATTTTTTATGGACTACATACGATCTCATAGCATGGCTATAACATAACTCACCTAACCAGTGTCCTACTGATTAAGCACTAATTCCCAAAAAAGAAAATACCTCAGTAGAAAGTAAGGTAAATAACTTCTTTAGGTCTTTGCATGGAGGTATTCTCTGAGGCTGACCAAAAGGGTTAGTATTCTAGGGTAAAGGGCATGAAGATAAACAAAGCAGTTTGCCTGAAGTTAAACCTAAGACAGTATTTCAGGAATATTCTGTCTAGATCAGATGAGCAGAGGACAGGGGGTTGGGCTAAACCGAGCATGAAGGTCACACTAACAGTGAAGACCATGAACAGATGTTGCCAACATAAACCATTATAAGTTGGGGACTATAATCTCTTTACAATGGTTGTATATTATATTATTTCTCTTTGATACAAATGAGGAAAATGAAGACAAAGGTTGCACAACCAATGAGAAACTTATACTTGGATTTGATCTTACTCCTCATCCCTTTATAATTATTACTTCTTATAATCACATGTTACTTAAAGGAACTGAGAAAAGGGAGGGGAGCAAATAAAAATTTATAGTTTATTAGATCAACCTATTTATTTGTCATTTCTGGTTCTCTTCATTTCCTCTAGTGAATGACACCATGATCTAGAGTCATTCTTACTAGAACACACCTACCTTGTTCTGTTTCCTTTATGTAAAATTGTTAAACATACTATATTTCTGTATGCTATATGCATAACAATTCAATATAAACATACTGTTTAGTTACTTTTAAAATCAGTTTACTTCCCATTTGACCCAGCAGTACTGCTATTAAGTATCTCTTCAATTCCATGAAAAACTTAAAACAAAAAGATGCATCTACATCTATGTACACAGCAATGTTTATAGGTGCAAAAAAAGCATAGAATCAACCCTAGTGTCAATGGAAAAGTTGAGGAGTGTATAGTTAATAAAATATTTCACAGTTGTGAAGAAAGTCAAAGTGCTGTCATTTGGTACAAACTGATGGACCTTGAGGTGATTATGTTGGATGAAATCAGTCAAAAAGTGAAAGACAGATTATTAGATGGTTCACTCATCTGCAGGATATAAATACCAAAAAAAGAAGAAAATCTACATGCAAACAATGGGAGAAACAAATATTTGAACTCAACAAAAAAGATAATGATTAACAGAGGGAAGAGAAGGAAGGGTATAGGGGAGGGCGGAGGGAGGCAGACAGGCTATGAGCATGGGAGGTTTGGTATAAAAAATAAAAATAAAGTTTAGTGAAGAAAGAAGAAATTTGAAATGATATTGCTTATTATATGCATAATTACTTCAATCAGTATTTTTGTTTTGATTTTATATATTTGTTACTGCCTGTTATGTAAATAAGCTCAGTTAGTAAACCTTGTTAAATAGGTCATAGGAGAGGACTTAAGTAGGTTTTGGGGGTTGGGTTCATATATTTCGCTCACCATTGTGAGGAGAGTACACCCAGAGAGGCGCTGTCCCATACCGAGTCCTGAAGTGACATGTGAAGCACAGGCCTCATGCTGATCCAAAGAGTGGAGCAAAAACAGCCATCTGTGGGTCAACTGCAGAGTCACTGCAATTAACCTACAGACACAAGAAAAACAAATACTATCTTATATCACTGAATTTTGGGGTGATTTGTTCTAAAGCACTGTCAAAGCAAGAGCTAACTAGTACAACATCCTCCCAATCATTATCATACAGACTGTCATCAAGGAGCTGACAATGGAGGCAGCTAATTGTATTCAGGTATTTAAAGGAATCTTGAACTCTTGGTGCCTTCAGCACATTTTACATGGTTAAGGTTTCCCAAAATAAGTTTGGTAATGTGCCATAAAGACATTTCCTTAATCTTGTTTTAAATATAAGACAAAAGGAGTCCTGAAACACCTCCTCCATACACACACAACAAAACAGATGCAAAACCCCTGTGGGAAAAACTGACTGTCACATATAAAATAGGAGTATCAGTCCAACTTAAGTAATTTCAGCTATAGCTGAACTGGGTCACAGCTCCTAGACTTCTTTAGAGAAAATACTTACTGAAGTCCTGACAGAGATCTCAAACACCTGCCAACTGCCAACCAAGGCTAAGATATCCAAAACAACCATCACTTCCTATGCCAGGCTGAGAGATTTAAAACTGTTGCCACCCCAACAAAGAAAGGGTTTACAATAGGAGGCGATCCTTTGATGCCTACTATCCAGGTCCTCTTTTCAAACTAATAAGTGGTAGTACCAGACCCCTACTCCAATAAGTTCAAAAGCAGTTGAAAATTTATCCTTATAAAAATATAAGCCACACTGAAATGAGATAAAGGAACACAGTACAAACACCACAACAGAAAATCCCTAAAAGGAACCCCAACTCATACAGTGGAGCATCACAGAGAAGGCATTCAGGACACCAGGTCTGGCAATGCTGATGGAATAAAAAAAAAAAAAGTTGGATGAAAAACAACAGAATAAAGATAATGACAATGTGAGGTATCTACACTCACAAATAATAGTGCTAAGGACACTATAGCTGATTTTAAAAAATGCAATTGGGACATTAATCTGGTGCAAATGGAAGGGAAGAATATTTCATGTGCAGGAACAGCATGTACAATGAATAAGCATGCAGGCCAAAAAGACTGCTGTGGCTGGATTGCTGAGACTGCAAAGTGGGGTGCATGATGAAGCTACAGGGATCATGCCCCATTATGCACAAGGACTGCAGTGCCCGGTAGACAAGTGCAGAGTGTACTGCAAAGTGAGATGAGGAGCTTGTTCTGCAGTGTTAGTCAACATCCTGCTTCTTTCATCAGGAAACCATGGCCTGATGAATTAAAGAGAACGTATAGTATAGACATTATTTACATTTTTTGAAAAAGATTTATTTATTTTTGCATACAAAACTGGGGAACAGGCCAGAGGTTTGGGGGTGGTGAGAGGATTCACCAGACACAGAGTGGGGAGCAGAACAGGCAGATGGACAAAGTACACTGCTGAGGGGAGCAGCGGGTGAGACAGCGGGAGAGGTCTGCTGTGCCACATGGGTCACCTCCAGGGCCAGGGGCTGAACTCACACTGAAACAGCTGCAGCCAGCTTGCAGTGCTGCATCCTAACCCATTGCACCACCAGGGAGGGTCCTACATCCTGAAGCAAGCTTCTTCTGAGAACAGTAGCAGCTCTCAGTCTGTGAACTCCACACTGAGTAACACTATTTTAAGCCATTGTGAAGAGTTTTGTCTTTATCCTGAGTGCAATGGGAAGTCACTGAAAGATCCCTTAGATCTCTTCAGAGAGCAAGAAGTGTTGGCTGCATTATGAGGCATGAATTGGAAGACTGGGGCATAGGCAGAGAGAAGACAGGAAGTTTCTTATTTTTCTGGTGAGATGAGATAACCTCTTCAGACAAAAGAGCAAGGACATTGAACATGAGTGACATGAAAGAGTAGAGGAGGTTGTTAGAGCCTTTGTGAACAACCACAAGTAAAGGAAAGGAAAAAAGAAATGGGGACCACATGTCTGTTAAAATAAGAGTTTAAACTGTGGATTGGGTTCACATAGCTCTGTGACTGGATCTAGTAAAAGTCATTGTTTTGGAAGCAGGTCTGAAAAAGGATGAATGTTAGCTTAGATAAGAGGCTAGCACTAGCACTGAAGTTCCATGGAAAGGTAAACTGGCTTGAAAGTCTGGGTCTAATGTCAGGATAGCAGAGAAGTAAAATAGAGTTAATAGGAGGTAAAATGATCCCACTATTAGATGCACTGTCAAACATTCACTCACCAGCCCCCTGCAGAAGAGCCCATGTCTTATACCACTCACAGACCACTTGGGAGTTCTACCCCCAAGTCATGAATGTGAAAGAAAGCTAACGATTTTGTCAACGACCAGGCACAGAGCTAGCCTAATAGTGGATCCCAGAGGTGCTGTGGGCAGGCAGCTTTAACTATGTTCAGGGATGCATGTGAATAGAGTCCACCAGATGCTGATTGGAGAATTGAAGCTACTATTACACCAACATTAATGGAAGTAGAAAAGAGATTATTAAATTAAACAGGAGTAGTTTAAAAAAAAAGCAAACAAAAAAATTAAAAAAAATAAGCAAGCTCGGGGAAAAGAAATTTTAAATTAGGGCTAACTTGGTGGCTCAAGGGGTTGAAGCTGTTCTCTCCTGGGCGACGCAAGCACAGACACTTACCTTGAGTTTAGACCACGTTATAAAATGAATGACTACTGGCCCTCCCGGGTGGCGCAGCGGGTTAAAGCACAGCACTAAGAAGTTTAAGCAATTCCGCATGAGTTCGATTCCCGCCTGCCCCGGAGGCGAGGCAGCCCTCTCCTGACCCGCCCGCTGCTCCCCTCAGCAGTGTACTTCCTCGATCTGCCTGTTCTGCTCCCTGCTCTGTCTCTGGTGAATCCTCTCACCCTCCGCATCTCTGGCCTGTACCCCAGTTCTATATGAATAAATAAGTAAATCTTAAAAAAAAAAAAAAGAATGACTACATACACATGTCACTTCTCTGGGGAGCAATCAAAATACCTTTTCGGTAACCCCCAGGTCCGTAGAACCACTCGAATCTCCCGCACTTCGCGGGCCCCACCCCACGGAAGGCGGGGCCTGCGTGCTGACGCAGAGGGAACGCGCCGACGTCGGCGTGTACCGCCCTGGTGGGCACTAGCCAACCAGCTGGAACCGCAACCCGGCGCGTTTGAGTGCGAAGAGGCGGGCGTCAACGGCCGGCTAGGCTAGGCGGGAAGCGGCGCGGGAGTGTCGCGTCAGGGGGTGCTGCCTAGCAGGATCGAGCCGCCGCTTCCGCGCGCGGCCGCGGGGTCGCAGCCGCGGGGCCGTAGGTACCCGAAGGTCGGTGACCGGATTCCAGGGTTGGGGCGTCGTCTCCTGCGTCGGTGTCCCCTGAGGTTGTGTTTAGCATGATCGACTCCGTGAAGCTGCGCCGCAATAGCGCGGCCGACTTCTTCTCGCACTACGAGTACCTTTGTGCACTGCAGGACTCAGTGCCTCTGCCATCGGTGCGCGCTTGCCTGCGGGAGGGTGTCCTGGACTTCAACGCCGACCGCCTCCGAGTAGTGGACTGGGCGCCCCTCCTAAGCACCCTCAAGGTTAACAAAGATCTGCCCCTGATCTCCATCAAGAGCTTCTTCCAGCCGTGGCTTGGCGAAACCGGTTAGTAGTTCCCGCTTCCAGAGGCCCGCGTGTCGATGCAAAGCGGGAGTTTAGACTGTGCAAGGTGGAGCTGGGCGCTGCAACGGTGATTGTTACCCGGGTATGTGTACAGTGGACGGGCATGCGGCCCAGAACTCTCACCAGCGCAATAATCCTGGGCGAGTCACTTAAGGCCTGTAGGTCTCAGCGTTCTCATCCATAGTACGAGTTTAACCGCACCTAGTGTCTGTGGCAATTGCAAGGATTCGCCGAGTTAATGCTTGTAGTGTAGTTACCAGAGTTTGGGACTTTATTAATGTTTCCTGAAAAGGCTTTGCTTGACTTAGAACACAGAGTAAGATATTAATGCCTCCTTTACTTTTTTCATTTAGTTTTGAAAGAGCACAGATGTGAAGGCAGCCTGGAGTTTGAATTCCAGGCTTACACTCTGTGATCTGGACAAGTTATTTTAACTACAAATCCGTACGTGTAAAAAGACATTGAAAACTCTTTCCCCGAATTCTTAGGGTTAAGGAGGTATGCTTTGCAGTATAATAGTTCCTACCTGAGCTCTCAGCGCCTAGCACTGCTGGAGAGTAGGCGCCTGCCCTAAAGGAGCTCCCTGGAGAAGGATGCAGGAAAACACAAGGGGAGTAGTTGGTGTTCTGGGAAAAGTGAAATGTTTTGCTGCAGAACATTTAATATCAAAAGGGAAGGTTCCGGGAAGTCTTCTTGGAGAAGGTGCCAGCCTTTCTAAGTATGTGTGGCAGCGACCCAAATGCAAGAGGGGACAACTTGTGTCAGTGTTTGAAAAATTTAAGAGGTTATGGCAAAGCTGAGATACAGTACCAGAATTCAGGGTTTGAGAAAGAAGTGAAAGTTGAAACTGGAAATCTAGTGGGGACCAAAAATGAGAGGGATCTCTTTATCTTCTTTCCATTAAAGAGTTTAATATTTTTCCTGAAAGTTGTAGGAAACTTTAAAGGATACGATTTTTTAGCAGCGCACTCTTACCTTCATATGGAGGCAGTCGATTGGGAGGAGAGTGAATTATACTGTAAGGTCTCAAGAAGTAGAGAAACAGAATTGTATATCAAACATCAAAGAGACAGAAGAACAGTGCCTGGTAACCGTTTAGAAAAGGGAAGGCAGACACATGGATGTCTCTGTAAGCAGCATCTCTCTAAGACACAGCACAGCAGAAAGGGATTAAAACAGGAAGGGATCTTCATCTTTAATGCTGTGTCCCTTGGGACTTCCAAAGATACCTGTTAGTTAGATTTCTGTGCTACAGATTTGGTAGCACAGATGTTTGAAGATACGGGAGAAACTTAGGTTACCCACAGAGAAGGAATCAAGGAAATCATAAGTGAAATATCTTTTTTATGGATATGTTTATAAACTGAGGGAAAGTAGCCAACAAAGAAAGGGTGTGAAGATTTAAAGAAATGATTCTTGCTTTTTTCAATGAAACTTCAACATAATAATGACCCTTTTCTGGATTCTGGGGTTAGTACTATCTATTGTCTCTTCTCCAAGAACAGTTCAACTTACTCCCTGGTGAAGAGAAATCAGCTTATCCTCTTCATCTGATTCAGAGGTAGGAACTGCTCTACTACTGCAGGAACTTTACTTGACCAAAATAAAACTTAGAAATCAAACGAAATTACAGTTGGGACCTTAGAGGATTCTTAAAGACCAGCATACATGATCTTAACTAATATTTTACATTGAGTGTATGAAAAAAAAAAACATAGTTTTCTGAGTTCTTTACTCCACCTTCTTTATCTCTTACATCTAGGGGTCTAGTTTGTAGAATTTAACCTCCTGGATTTGCTTTTTCATCTTTAAACTCTTGCCTGGACTGATGCAGAAGTTCCTCACTGGTTTTGCTATCCCTTACCTCAGGTTCTCTTAATTCATATGCCTGTTCCACTTTCATGATCTTCTCAAATGAAAAGATAATGCTTAAAATAATGCTTGAAAGGACTTGCCTACTCCGGATTAGTGCATATTGGCTCTATAGCTTGTATTCCGCAGCAAGGCATGAAATCTGAGCTGTTCAATAAGCCTGCTGGGACTAATTAGTCCCGAGGAAAGGGGTGCTCTTTCTAAATGATCCCAATCCTTTATCTAATTGGTCCTTTAGCTGTGGGGCACCTTTAGGAGGTGCCTGCTGTAGACTGTGTCATTGGTAGTCCTGGTCTCTGTCACCTAGGAGTTAAAAGCTATACTGTCGGGCCCTCCCTGGTGGCGCAGCTTAGCGGTTTAAAGCACTGCACAAAGAAGCTTAAACCACTTCCGCATGAGTTCACCACTTCTGCATGAGTTCGATTCCCGCCTGCCCCGGAGGTGATCCACATGGCATGGCAGACCTCTCCTGACCCACCCGCTGCTCCCCTCAGCAGTGTACTTTGTCGATCTGCCTGTTCTGTACCCCACTCTGTCTCTGGTGAATCCTCTCACCCTCTGCATCTCTGACCTGTACCCCAGTTCTGTACGAATAAATAAATAAATCTTTAAAAAAAAAAAAGCTATACTGTCTCAGGTTTGCTCAGCCAACCTCTCTATTTTCATTTCTCTCTTTTCCTGCATGCATACCTGGCCTCTGGTCATGCCTACCTGCAGTGTTTACATCTCCATATGTGTTAAGCTTGAATATGTCTACATATGTGCTCTCTACAGTTGATGTACCACCCACTCTTGCTATATAAATCTCCTGTTTATAGATTTAACTTCAGCCATCATGTAGCTTTTTGTTTCCATAAGAACCTTTAAGCCCATAGTTTATTTCTGTATTTTATACGGCTAAAAATTTTAATTTACATATGTCCTTCCATAAAGAGGACTTTAAGGGCAGGAGTTATTTATCCTGTGCCATAGCACAAATCAGAGGCTTTACTGATGACAAAAATGTGTGGTTGAAATCACTGATTGCACAGTGTTTTTGCTTTAGGTTCTGACAGAAGTAAAGTTTGCAGAAGTCGTGTTCCAGCAATAAGAAACAAAGATGTGACCTTCCAGTTATGTAAAGCTCTTAAATGTTGTTTAAGCACATCCAGCGCTCTAAAGAACCTAGAGCTAAATGGACTAGTTCTGAGAGAGAGAGATTTAACTATTTTAACAAAGGTAAGTCTTCTCCAGTGTGTTCTAGGAAATTTGATAGTGGCATTTCGAAGTAACTAAAGTCAATAATTTTTTACTTTTTTTTTTTCCATTAAAGGGATTGAATAAATCTACTACCTTGGTGCACCTGTCTCTTGCAAATTGTCCTATTGGAGATGGAGGTTTAGAAAGTGAGTTTTAATTTTAAGTCTCTTCCCATCAGACTAGTCTCATGATTCCATATATACCATGTCAATTCCTTTTCTTGCTGACTCTCCCTGAATTTTCTCCTCTGTTTAAACCTTAATCCAGTCTCACTTGTATTATGAAAGCTTGGCATGTTGAATGGATACTCTGAACTGGTTTTACTTAAGGCTGTGTGACATCACAAGTCACACAAATATTTACTATTTTGTATTTTGTTTGTTCATCTATTTATGGCTTTCATTTAGGAAGTTTATGGGAAGGGAAATAGCAAGATGTGAATAGAGAAGCCATCATCTTTTAATATCTAAAGCATCTATATGCAATCATAATTATGATGCAATATATATATGCTAAAATAGGAAATATATGCAAAGTGCTGTGGAAGCATAAAACACAGGGGTATTGATGGGACTGTGTAATGGAAGTAATCAAAGAGAAGGTGACTGCTGTTTGGGTGGGACCTTCAAGAACTCATGTGTGTTCACTGTGTGCAGTATGATCTGGAGGGGTAAGGAAGCATGAATTTCACTTTGATGGAGACAGTTTGAGGTCCTTTATTTTTTACTACTCTGTTAAAATATCGTGTAATGTTTTGGGTTTATGGTTGATACTGAACTTTGTTGATCAAAATCAAGGTATGTCTTTGGAAATGAAAATAGGAAGAGTTTAAAATTTTTTGTTTTCTTTCAAGTATCTCAAAGGTACATATTTTACTCAGTGGTTGGGAATAAAGTTTGCAGTATTGAGAATATTCAATTTTAGTATCTAAGTAGAACTAAATTATGGCTGCAAACTGTAATAACTCTTTGCTACTAAACTATTTTAGAATATACCAATCCATCAGTTACCTGAGAAAATTGTAGATAATGATTTTAAGAGTACAATTGAAAGCTTCTAGTAGAGTCAAGAAAAGTGAATAAATAAGATTGGCCAGATTGTATAGGCTTTTCATCTGATCGTGTGTGGTCTTTTTCCCTTTTAGTTATTTGTCAAGGTATAAAGAACTCTATCACTCTTAAAACAGTAAACTTCACGGGGTGTAATCTGACATGGCAGGGAGCAGATCACATGGCCAAGATCTTAAAGGTGATTTTATGTTTAAATGTTAATGAAAATATATTATTTGATTGAAGCACATTAATAATTTGATACAGGTTGGTATTTATTTTTGTCTTTTGACACGTAATGATTGTAGCTTTAGTTATGGTGAAATAGTCTTACAAGCTTTAGTTTAGGGTTCTACCATTTAGTAAAAGCTTACCTAAGAAATGAGCGATTTAAAATAAAAATTTTATGAACAATGCTTTTGTGCATTTTTTAATTACTGAAAATATTTATGGTGGTATTAAAAGAAACTAGGCTATTACAGTTCTTAAATGAGAATTTTATTGTTTACTGCCATATTTTACAATCTAATAAAAACACTACATTAGCATTTTGTCAATGTAGTTTTTAAATTAATGCTTTATAGAGGTTATAACTTATAAGTGCTTTAACTTATAAGTGGTCATAGCTACTATATTTAGGTATAGATTGTTTAATAATTTGATAGAAGCCTTTTTAAGAGTTTGCTGGTTCAGATGAGGAATTAGGTAAACGTTGGCAGATGGACCAAATCCAGCCTCTCACCTGTGTTTATAAATATTTTTTTTTGGAACATAGCCAAGCCCTTTTGTTTACATAATGACTATGGTATCTTTACCATTTACCAGTAGAGTTGAGTAATGCAACAGATGCTGGCCTACATAGGTGAAAATTTTTTTTAGGCCTAGACAGACCAGGTCTGTTGACTTTTGATATAGAAAGTGACCAAAAGCAATAAATTTTAAATCCAAGTGAGTGAGGTTCAAATCTAGTTTTCTGATTTAATAGCCCATGACCATGAATGAATTACGTAATAACCTCTGTACCTCATTATGAGAATTAAAATGAACCAATATGTATGAAATGGTGTTGGCATGTAGTAACTACTGAGTGCTGTTATTTCCTCTAATTGCTCTTTTGCACTTTTTTGTTAATAAAAAAATGTCACTGATTTTCTCTTGAGTGTTCTAGGAACTGAATCTTTTTTGTTGTTTAAGAATGGAGTAAGATTTGTTTTTTTAATTTAGTTTTCCTTATTACCAGATTTGTTTTACAAATATAGGGACCTGAACTTGTCTTTAAGACCATATCTGTGATTAAAAACCAAACCATTGATTTCCTAAGGCATGTCAAACCAACTCTGCATATTCCTGACCTGTAAAGTTTGGTGTGCTTATCCTAAGTTGTATGCAGGATTCATTTGATAAGGAGAAAAAAATACTAGAACTTCTATTTTATTTTTGTATAATTTAAAAAATAATTATGTTGTTATATACATCATATATATGTAGAGAGCTTATACATATTAATAAATAAGATACACGTTAAAAAATATTTACTTATTGTATACCCAATCAAGTGTTTAGGGACCCACTGGATGACACAGTGGTAGAATTTAGAGCCTCAGCAATGGTAGAATTTGGAACCAATTCCCTGATGAGTTAGCAGATAAGGAAAAATCAAATTCATAGGATACATACAGTTGAGCTGACAGAGTAAGTAGATATAACTATCAGCAGTAGGTCAATTTGTGACTAGAGTGTAATCACTGTCATTAGAAGGCAGATCACCGGACAGCTAAACCAGAATCAGCTTGTAATCCCTCAGGTTCACTGTCCTGCATATAAACTTGTATATGCATATGAATCTCTGAATCATACTGTACATAGTATGTATATGAATCTCTGAATCACATTCAATGACATACGCTTTTTCCTTACACAAGCATCCTTACTTTCATCCTTTTTAATCTATAAAGTATCAGACCATAAGGAGGCATGAAGAAACCTGGGCTGAGAGTCTTCGATATAGAAGGCCTGACCTTGATTGTATGGCTGGCTTGAGGCGCATCACTTTGAATTGCAACACACTCATTGGTGACCTTGGTGCAAGTGCTTTTGCAGAATCTCTTAGTGAGGACCTATGGCTTAGAGGTAAATTGTCGATTTGAAAATACTGGATTTTTTTAATATTAAATATGTTTAGCTTTTGGCATGATATTGTAGACAAGTCCTTTTTTAAGCTTCATTTTGTCTAGTTATTGTACTTTTAAAATTCTCTGGGTTCCATTTATTCTTTGTGGAAAATGAGAGTAACAAAAAAAGAAATTACCTATAATTTTAATAGCCTGACATAATCATTGTCAGGCAATGAGTACACCCTTTTTTTTTTTACTGTAAGTGGGACTACTCCATATTTTGTATTTTTTTTTACTTAATATTGCATGAACATCTTAAGTCAATCAGTTACTCTGCCAAGCCATTTTTAGTGACTGCTCAGAGTCTGTTATATGAATATGCCATGGTGTGCTTGGTCTATACATGCTCATTAGACATATATGCTACTTCAGGTTTTTTGCTGTTATGAGCAATACTCTGATATACCTTCTTGCCTACATCTCTACATCCCTTTTGTTAAATTATTAACTGCAGAATCAAAAGAATATGTACATTTCAAAGGTTTTTGTTATATGATCTTAGAGAACAGTCACATTTCATTGTTTTATTTTATATTCTTGTGATTTGCTAGTGACCTTTCCTGGCTATTTTTATTAATTTGGCTGGTTGATTAATTATGTCTTGCACTATTATTCTGTATTAAGAGTTTGTAGTGCTAGTGTCATTGTCTGACAGATCTACATATCTGACTTTCTTTGTATTATAGGGTTTTGAAAGACTCCAGCTATTTTAATGCAGTGGTGTATGTATAACATTTTTTAAAAAGCTCATATTACTATTTTCTCTGTGTATTTTTTTTTAACCTGTGCTTTTGTGATGATTCCGTTAGTTTAGTTGAGTAGGTTGTTTAAGCTTACCACTACTAGCATTTATAACCATTTGTTCTGTTCTCTGAATTTTTATCAAAAAAGAGCTCTTGAGCATCCTTCTTTATGATAGGTTTACAGCATATGTTCTCTGTTCATATTTTTTAATTTGTCAATATCTGCATTCTCTTAGACTTCTTTCTTTGTTGTTTTTCTGTACTACATTACTTCCTTTTTGTTTTCCCCCTTTAACTGGTTTCAAGAATGATTTGGAACCAAAGATCATGATTAAAATAATGCAGTGCATTTTCTGGACTCTACCCAGTTGTTTACTTATGAGATCTCCACTGCCATTAACATTGTTCATATCTGTGAACTGAGAATGGATTCCGTGATGTTTTTCATAGTCTTTGTGTACTTGTAAAATATATTGGTTAATTTATTGGTACTAAAGGCAAGATAATCATGGCACATCTAAGAAGACATTTTTATTTGATTTTATATTAGGTGTGTTCATATACTTTTCTGGGTTTTCACCTCCAGTAACCAATATTTAAAATTTACAATTCCCAACGAAAAAGTTTGAAAAGACTGGCTAATCTTTCATAGGAATTTTCTGTAATGAAAGTAGTCTGTATGTTTGTATGGAGTTGACAAGTGATCTTTTTCTTTTGTCAAAAGCACTTGACCTTCAGCAGTGTGGCCTCACCAATGATGGAGCAAAGACCTTACTAAAGGCCCTTGAAACCAATAGAACTCTAGTTGTTCTGGACATAAGAAGAAATCCGCTTGTTGGTAGGTCACCACTTTTTTTTAATTGATTAGCAAATATCAAAACAAAGAATTTGTTTACATTATGACTTTTTAAAATCTAGTATGTTGAATAACCCTATTCTTACTCTTCTCTAATCTTAGACTTCCTTGTGCTCTTCACAGATAATTTACTAAGTTAAGTGAGTGATACTTGTAAGTTGCTCTTAGTTGTTACTCTGAATAGAGATGAACCTCTACCAAGAGCATTATTTCTTTCTTGTGGAACTTCTGAATTCCACAGAAATTAAACTTGGAAAGAGCATTTAATTCACTTGTCAGTTTAATGAATAATTTATTGATACTTTCTGTATGCTAGACATGGGTTTAAGTATTAGGAACATAACTATAAAACAGATGGACCCTTGTAGAGCTTAGATTCTTATGCAGGAATTCAGATAAGTCATCTAAATTAGATAGTAAGAGTATCAAAAATACCTTAACATACTAAGACTAAGGGCAAAAGTATATAGAGAAGTCTGTCTAATAGGGGATAAATATTAATAGGTGTATTGGGGGCAGCTTCACGAGAAAACTGACATTTGGCCAGAGCTCTAAGTGAAGAGAGGAGCAAACCATGGATGATCTGAGGGAAGCTTACTCCAGGACAAGGACATCAGGAGTCTGCAGGCATGCAGTGCTAGGGGAGTGAATTATTTTAACGAGAAGCAAGGAGACCCACATGAATGGAGAATTGAATGAGGGACATTGTGGCATACTGTATACGGTCAAGGAATTGTCCAGGACCTAATCTTGTAAAATCTTAAAGGCCAGAATAAAGACAGGTTTTATTCTAAATGAGCAGAAAGCTGTATGAGGGTTTTGAAATAGAAAAAGGCATATTAAATAGTGTTTCAGTAAGATGACTACCATGTAAAGAATAGACAGGAAGACTAGTTCAGAGACTGGTCCAAATTAGAGATGATTATGACTGAGCTTATGATGAAAGGGATAAAAGCTGGTTGAAGTGAGGTATATTTTGAAGATACTGTTAACAAGACTTGAAGATAGATTAGAATATGAAAGAAATAATAAAGGAACAAGTCCTAGAAGAATGCAGAAGAGAGGCCTAGAGTGTTCTAGAATAGAAACAAAAGAAAACAAGAAGTACGTGACCATGAAGTAAATGCTTGGTCTTAAAGATCAAAAACTTAAGAATAGATTAAAGCCTAGGAAGAAAGAAGAGTTACCTAACACCTTTCCTCTATTCTTCCTATGCAACATACAATTTACCATATACTTGTTGATGCCAACTTTATCGACTTTTCTATTAAAGCCAAACTGGACTTAGTATAATTTGTGATGGACTATATGCCAAGTGTCTCCCTTGAGTAACTGATTGTGTAATGACTGACATTGAGAAATTGGGTCAGAAGTGTTCAGATGTGCTATAGCTATAAGGATCACCAGGGTTGCAAGATTTGAATGATTGCCATACAAAGGAACCTATTCAGAATACTGCTTAGTACACAGTAACTCGGCAACGTGTTGCATTGTGGCCATGGTTGAAAGGGCCTTTAACAGATCTGGAAGATTCATGGAGTTATTGTCACATGTACATTTCTAATCATAGGTACAACATTAAGGAGATGCCAGATGATTTATGGATGCCCTTGGTTCTCATTCTTCCTTTTCTGTCCTTCAGCCAGCTCTGTGGCGCCAGTTTATTTAACATGCTACTGCATGAACAGTTGTTCCCCTCACTAATTTGTTCTGTTATTGAATATGGTTAAATATACTCCCTTTTGGATGTGATTTTTAATATATTTGGTGTGATTTTAAAAAAGTTACATCTTTTATAAATTAAATGACTCTTCATATTAAAGGAAAAGTGAAACAAGTCCTGAATGTTTGTAATTATGTATGCAACTACATGGTACATTCACTAAGAAGATCTGGTTGAGGAGAGAGAATATCAGGACTGTAGTTTGCTATATTAGGTGCAAACTAAAGATACATAAATGTTGAACAGTGCCTAGGTGCTTTATTTTCTGTTCAAGGATAGCCAAAGTCAATTTAGATGCAAAGTATTAAGATTTGCTCTTCACTGCTGCCAAAATAGTAGCCACTATGTGCAATGAAAGGTAACATGCATTCTTCATAGGTTTTGAGGAAGAAGTTTGACCTTTCTCAAGAAAGGTCTATAATTATGTAATATGGACTTCACACATTCTTAATTTTCTGGGAAAAACAACTGGTTGACTTTTGTTTTTAGATGGCAGCAATTCTGAGTAACAGTTACTTCTGATTAACAATTACTATAATTTCAATTTGCATTTTACTTTAGATCACTCCATAATGAAAGCAGTTATCAAAAAAGTTCTCCAGAATGGAAGGAGTTTCAAATCAGAGGTATAACATGTTCAAGTTCTCTAAAAGTTTCTCTTCAATTGCTGTTTCTTTTTGTTAAAAAAAAAAAGTACAAAATTTTATGTAAAATTGTTAGGTACTTTTCTGCCATCGTAAATTTTCACTCATATCAAGAAGCTATTCTGTTTTGCAAATATTATGCGATACATTAATTTGGGGTCTCAGAAACGAAAATTGTAAACCTTTTATTAATTTAAAACATCTTCCCAATTCCAGCTAATTTCAGACCTTCCTAAATTACTTGAAAATAAATTGGAGCCTTTATTACTTCTCTTTCAGTACCAGTGGATAACTTCTCCATCAGCGAAGGAACCATTCAAAACTGCTAAACAGAAAAAGAGAACTATAATTCTGGGAAGTGGTCGGAAAGGAAAAGCTACTATTCGAATTGGTAACCTTTTCAATCTTGGCTTTTGTCTCTTAAAACTCATATACTTTTATTTGAGTTAAAATAACTTTCTGTAGACCCTCCCTGGTGGCACAGCGGGTTAAAACACAGCACTAAGAAGCTAAAGCCACTTCAGCACAGGTTTGATCCCTGGCCCCGGACGTGACCCACATGGCCCAGCAGACCTCTCCTGACCTGCCTGTTCTGCTCCCCACTCTCTCTGGTGAATCCTGAGCCTCTGGCCTGTACCCCAGTTTCATATGCATAAATAAATAAATAAATCTTAAAAAAAATAACTTATTGTAGAGGACTTTAAGATTTATTTACTTACACTTACAGAACTAGGGTATAGGCCAGAGGTATAGTGGGTGAGAGGATTCACCAGAGATAGAGTGGGGAGCAGAGCAGGTAGGTTGACAAAGTACACTGCTGAGGGGAGCAGCAGGTGAGACAAGAGAGGACCTTGATGCCATGTGAATCACCTCTGGGGCAGGCATCAAATTCATGCTGCAGTGGCTTCCAGAGTTTCATAATGTTCTTTAACCCATTGCGCCACCAGGGAGAGCCTGGAGTATTGTTACTTTATATCCTTGCTAGTATTTTATGACAGCATAGATTCCTCACCTTACCACATAATAACCATAGCACTCCCACTGCCAAAACACTCAGAATAGAGGGCTTTTATTTGTAAACATTGCTTGCCCCATGTAAAACATACTTTTACAAAATGATCTCTTTTTAAGGAAAAATACCGGATGGTTTCATTCATAGTAGGAGTATAAAGGACCAGGCGAGAAAATAATAATAATAATGAACAACTATATACCAGAGACATTTTATGGGGGTGGAGTGGGGGATGGGATCAGAAACAGTGGGGGGAAGGAAATGCACTGAACTGTGGTGATGGCACATGGGTGATTTGGTGATGGGAAGCGCCCACGGGGATTACAACTGAGATAGAAAAAAGTACAAAATGATGTAAAAATAAACTATTATATTTTTTTAAAAAATCAAAGCTAGAAAAAATAAGATCTCTTTTTAATAACCTTGGCATCATTAAGTGCCCATTTGTATTCATTTTTAGATTGTGCAGGTGATTGTTGTGTAGACTTTTAGTGCACCTTGATTTCTTTCTTTTAATGCTTTCTCAAATATAGGATTGGCTACAAAGAAACCTGTCAATAATGGAATTAAACGCTCCCTTGGTAAAGAATGTTATGCTCCTGAACCTCTGCCACCTGGTGTCTCTGGTTTCTTGCCTTGGCGAACTGCAGAACGTGCAAAAAGGAATAGGTAGGGTATTTTCTTTCCTTATCTTTAATCATTCAGAATTTTTTATTTTTGAGCTTCTAACTTCTGGGAAATCTCTTTTTATCTCCTGAAGATAGATAGATTGATTGATTGATTAATGCATAGAAGAACTGAGGTGTAGGCTAGGGGTGTAAGGGGTGTGAGAGGCCTCACTAGAGACAGGGTGAGGAGTAGAACAGGCCAATCTATTGAAATACACTGCTGAGGGGAGCAGCAGGTAAGCCAGGACTCAGGCTTCCATGTGCCCTCTTAGTGATAGCACTGAGACTTAACCTCTACACCACCAGGGAGATCCCTTTCTGGGAGGTTTCTGTTGGTTTCTGTAGGTGTTCATAGTAATTTCTGTCATAGAATTGCAGAACTTTTTTTAAAATTAATACTGTAATTTTAGGTTTACTAAGTGAATTAGCTTGCTATAGATTTTCAAATGACTTAGTTATATATTCAAGAAATTTGGGATTAACCATTGCTTAAGAGAACAGATTGATTTTATTTCAAACTTGAAATAGGTAGTATGTAAAATTATCTGTTCAGTTGCTTACAATAAAAGTATGTGTATAATCTTCTTTGAGCAATTAACTACTATGCTTTTTTGCAAATGGTAAAGGGTTTTTACTGTACAAAATATAATACTTAGGTCCCAATCTTTGTACTTTAGTGTTATAACTTTGTGACTGAATCTCTTATTCTTGGGACACTTCATAATCTTTTTTTTTTTAATTTTATAAGTTTATTTTTACATCATTTTGTGCATTTTTTTTTCCATCTCAAATGTAAACCCCGCGGGTTTCCCATCACCAAGTCACCCGTGTGCCATCACCGTAATCCCGTGCACTTCCCTCCCCACCCCCCCATTTTTGATCCCATTCCCCACTCCACCCCTGCAAAATGTCTCTGGTATATGGTTGTTTATTATTCTTGTTATTTTCTCGCCTGGTCCATTATACTCCTGCTATGAGTGAAACCATCCGGTATTTCTCTTTCTGGCTTATCTCACTCAGCATGATCTTTTCCAGCTCCATCCAAGTTGCTGCAAAAGACATGTGTTTCTCTTTTTTGGTTGCTGAGTAATATTCCATTGTATATATGTATCACATCTTTTTAATCCAGTCATCTACTTTTGGGCATTTGGGCTGCTTCCATGTTTTTCCAGTTGTAAATAAAGCAGCAGTAAACATGGGGGTGCAAGTATCTTTTTCAATCAGTGTTTTTGGGGACACTTAGTAATCTTAAGTCCTGGTCATGAGGAATTATAAATTAGAGAATTTATATCACAATTAATAGAAGTTAGACTGGAAACCATGCTGAACATTGGGCTGAATGTACCTCTCAACAATTCAAAGAGTTATTGCAAAGCCAATCTACCAACTTCTGTTTACTTTTCTCCATGGCAGATTTCTGGGTTCTTATTTTGACCTTATTTATTTTTCTACATATGAATACATTGATATGTATGTCTATATGGGTATTGTACCTAACAAATTTTATTAACTGAGATTAACTGAGGGTATATTTGCATCAAAATATAACTTAATTTGTTATCTTTTTAGAGGGTTTCCATTAATCAAAACTCGTGATGTATGTAATCAGTTGCAGGTATGTAAATCATATTTGTAATATATAGGGAGCTGGAGTGGGAAAGATGGAAGATCATTCTTTTTACTTTTAAACGGAATGGAACCTTACCTCAGAAACAGAACCTCAAAAACATTTCTGAAATAAATCAATTTAAAATTTGTGGGATCCCCCAGTGCTATTGTGTAGTTGTATGAATATAGCACACGCTAAGGACTGTTTGCAGCATCTGTAAACAAAAAAAAACCTTTTCTTGTCACCCAATGAAATGGGTGTCACCCAATGAAATGAATTTAATCCTATTTCTGACCCAAACAAGTGAAACTATTACACTCAAAAATGTCCATATGTTTTTAAGGTACCTTGCTTTGGGAATATATATATATGTATGTAAACAGACACACTAGATCCTGAAACGAAAACAACAAGCTCTAAAGCTTCTGTTCTTCTGGAGCACTTCTGTTTTTTTCACAGGACCACACACATTCCCTGTCAGACTGCCTCATAGTCTAGGAACAGACTAATCCTGTCAGCATTTCAGTTTCTTTTTCCAAGTTGTCCTGGGAGACAGTTGCTGTGTAAAAAGGCAGCATTACTGAGCTTGAAAGAGGAGCCCTGGATGGCAGTACTGCCCCTGACATGCCCAGATGAAGGGTGATTTTCCCATACTGCAGGGTTTGCTGCTACTTATGGCTGAAGCTTTGTGATAATGACATATCTTCTGTACAGTTATGTAATTTCAGTACATTTCTTTTTGATGTGTAGACGTCTGCTTTATGGTATTGTGATCAAGTTGATTTTTAAGTGTTTGGAAATGTCATATTGAACAAATCCCAGGGAAAGTGAAACTTGACAGGAAATTAGTATTGCTGTAATGCTACTTTTGGCTTAGTGTTGATGACAGATAAGGTTTTTGATAAATTGATTTTAATTTGTACATATGTCAGTTATTTTTAAAGTTCCAATGTTTATTATTCACTTTAAATATGTTGACTTTCTAGTTATCTTTTAATTCTATATCAGTTCCCTTCTTGATGCTAATTTCCTCCTAAAAATGAATTCAAGTCCTCACTCTGTGTCTAATGTTAGAAAATAAATTTCTTGTATGCAACATTAAGCTGATCTGTAAAATATATTTACATTTGTTTCTCACTTGGTTTACATGAAAGAAATTTAATAACATGGGCAATTCCAAATACTTATCCCAACATGTGCAACAACATCCCATACAGTTAGCAGCAGAAGTAAGTTACTATCATCTTACTTTCTCATTGCTAAGTTAGACTAAGGAATAGTGAAGAGCATTTATAATTACTTAATACTTAAGAAAGATCAATTTCATAAAATAACCTCTAATATTTGGTGTCTGATTTGTAATATCTCTTCTACAATCATCTTTCTTTAAGCAAGCAGATTTTCCTGTGACTGTGACATTAGAGAGTGCTTCCTCTTCAGATATAGAAGAGGTTGATGATTCTTCAGAGAGTGTTCAAGAAGAGCCTGAGAAAACCAATTTAAAGCAAGAAGTATTACAGGTACAAAGTTACCATTTTACAGATATGGAGAAGATTGTGTCTGAAATCTTAGTTGTCATCTGGTGGAAGCTTGATGACAATAATAAACGCTCAGGATCAGGGTTCTGTTTCTTCTCCCTTCAATAAAAAACAGACATTTAAACTCTAAGAAATAAAACTCAAAACATGTAATTAGTAACACATTTTCACTTTTTTAGAAGTATAGAGTGTTAGATTTAGGGAGAACCTTCATGAAATTAGGTAAACTCAAAGAAGTTAAGTTTTAAATGATTCTGTGATCTTATTTTAAAAATTAGAAAATTGCTGGTACTAGCTGAACTCTTTTTATAAGAAGCTTGTTTTTAATAAAAGTAAAATGGAGAAAAAGTTTTGTGACTGACATTTCCCTTAAAATAAAAATTTCAGGTGGCACAGGGGTGATTTGGTGATGGGAAACCCGTGGGGATTACAATTGAGATGAAAAAAAAAAATGTGAAAAATGATGTAAAAATAAACTTTTTAATAAAAAAAAAAAAAAATAAAATAAAAATAAAAATAAAAATTTCAAAAAGATCATTATATAGTTTAGTAAATGTGACATCTAATGGCATTTTGTACTTTTTGTTTATGTGTGAGCAGAAAAGAAAACTTGATCTTAACATTTTCACACTTCAAAAATATTTCAATTTTAATGTTATCCTAATACTCTGAAAATTAGTATTTGATTGTCAAAAGGAAGCCAGATTTTCTTTCTGCAATTCAAATGAATAGTAATATATAGAAGTACTTCTAAGATTATGGAATGTTGGAGTAAGAGAAGTCTGTATATCCTGTGATGACCCTTTTCATCTTATAAATGAGCACCTACATTTTGTAGCACTTAAGTGGTTTATTACTAAATGGCAGAGTAAAGACTAGCATCAAATCTGAATTCATTGTCATTGAGGGGTGATGTGTTCATTTCCTTCACAGAAGGACTAGGAGATTATACCTATAACTAGATTTTAGGAATACCTAAAAGTTATTTAATTTAATATTTAATTTAAGTTGCTCTTCCCTCGTTTCATAAGTCACTAAGATAAATGTTCATTTAAAATATATAAACCCACCATAATCAAGAGAAAAGATGTTAACCAGTTTTTGAAGGACAGTAGACAGTGAAAGAAGGTGAAACTGAAGAGTAGATGGCAAAAACATGACCAAGAGTAGGCACAGGGCTGCCTGTAGCTAAGGGGATTATAGTCCTGCCCTGAAGACCATAATGGCTCCATATCTAGATGTGTATGAAGGAGAAAAGATGGAGTTAGTTAAAAATGTCAGTAAGATAGTTTGAGCCACGGGGCAGTATGTAAAAACAGATGTCAATGAAAGGTTTTGGAAAAGCTGACTTCTACCCTTATCCCCTCCTGAAATAAAACCATTTCACTTTGAAAAAAAATTAAACTGGAGAAAAATAGGCAGCTAGTGTAACATTTTCTACCCTAAAAAAGAGTTTTGGGGAGTGTGTTTTCATTACTGACCATCCACTCTTCATGTATAAGACAAACCGTTCATTGGTTTCCAGGGAACTTTCTTCTCATACGCTTGCAATGTGATGTTGGGTGGGGATGGGCTGTGGTGAAGGACAAAAGCAGATGTGGCCTAGTAGGATCAGGGACAATTTTGGGAACAAAAATATTTAGGAAAAAAACCTTAAATTAATGTACTTAGAGACCTATAAAAAGAGAAAACATCTATAAATAAGAGTAGGGAATTTATTTAAAAAGGAATGATTAGAAAGCGAAAGAGATCTTTTGGAAGTTAAAATGTTGAAATCAGCAAGATACAGAAAAGACTGCTTGGAACATGATTCTTTTTATGTATACCTAAAAGTGGGAAAACCGAAATATATATATATATATATACATTTTTTTTTAAAGATTTATTTATTTGTACATACAGAACTGGGCTCAGGGGCGGTGAGAGGCTTCACCAGAGACAGTGGGGAGCAGAACCGGCAGATCTATGAAGTACACTGCTGAGGGGAGCAGCGGGCGGGTCAGGAGAGGTCTGCCACGCCATGCGGTCACCTCCAGGGCAGGCGGGAATCGAACTCATGCGGAAGTGGCTTTAACTTCTCAGTGCAATGCTTTTCCCCACTGCGCCACCAGGGAGGGCCCCGAAATATATTTTTAAGGATGCAGGTGTGTAAAGGAAATTTTTGTCAGGAAATAAGAATGGAATTTAACTCTGAGAGGAGCTTGTGATGGGAAAGATACCTTTGTCACCTGACAGTTCTTCAAAACTTACTGCATATTTTCCAATTAAAACATAAAAATTACCTGCTTAAAGAAATAGTAACCTCTGTGTATGGGTGATGTGTACTGAGAAGATTAACTTTCTCTGCAAGCCCTCATATGTTCATTTAGAATTAATTGAACATATTCTGTGTACCAAACACTCTAAATTTAAATGCATGTTAACTCCCACAAACTTCACAAAACTCTGATATGGGCATTTGTCTTCATTTTATAAATGTAGATTTTGAGACTTAGCTTTATGCAACTTGCCCAAAGATATACAGCTAAAGGAAGGGATAGGATTTTGCCCCACAGAGTTTAAACTTTTAAGACACAATCTTACAAGAGAAATTTAACTAAGAAATGCCAATTTAAAGAATATAATAAGGTTTCACCTGTTCAGTTAGAGGAGACACAGTCCATCTTTCATACACATAAATTTTGTATTGCTGGCATTTATTTAGCAATTATTTATTGGTTGCTTTGTGCTAGGAATAGTGAATGAAATATACTCCCCTAAGTATCTTGCACTTTAAGTGAGGGAATAAATAACTACAGTAGAGATTACATACAAAATAATAGACCCATATATTACTGACCCAATAGAGAACTCTAAAATATTTGGAAGACAATTTGGAGGTAGTATCGTAGAGCCTTAAAAATAATATGCATTCGGGCCCTCCCTGGTGGCGCAGCGGGTTAAAGCACTGCACTGAGAATTTAAAGCCACTTCCGCATGAGTTCGATTCCCGCCTGCCCCGGAGGTGACCACATGGTGTGGCAGACCTCTCCTGACCCGCCCGCTGCTCCCCTCAGCAGTGTACTTCGTCGATCTGCCTGTTCTGCTCCCCACTCTGTCTCTGGTGAAGCCTCTCACCATCCCGAGCCTCTGGCCTGTACCCCAGTTCTGTATGCATAAATAAATAAATCTTTAAAAAAAAAATAATAATATGCATTCGCTTTGATCTCAAATTCATTATTAACTATGTATTGCAAGGAAATTATTCTGAATATAAAAAAATCATCATTAAAAATGGATATTTTATAGTATTGAAAAGCTGGAAAAATTTAAAATGTTAAACATGAAGCAATTGAGTCTGTGAACCAGTAAACCTATTCAGTGAAATATTTTGTAACCTAAAGAAGTAAGGTTGTGAATCCTCTAATTATATGAGAAATGACTGATTCAATATTAAGTGGAAAAAGTTGAATATGAAAATTGACAGTGTTATAGGAACTTAGTTCTAGGGAAAAAAATTAATCAGCTGATATCAATAAAGGGAGGAGGAAGAGAGCAAATGACAGGAAGGAAAATTACTCCAAATCCCATCATAATCTTAGTAGAATATCAAGTGAATTTCATTTTCTAATTTTTTGATTCCATATATGCTTCTAAGGAGGTAAGTATATTTTTTCATAAAATTTTAACATTGTATTCTCATTCCCTCCACTAGAGGGAGAAACTGTTTCATGTATTTGTATTTTGTGCTGTTTAGAAGCAGTCAAGAAAAACAGTATCTTAGCCTCCTTTCTCTGTGATGATGGGTTTTTGTGTGCTTATTTGTTTAGGATTTCTATGAAGTTAGTTTTAAATGCTGAACCATCATATAAATAATAGAGCAGTAATAACTTGGTTGACTTTAACTGGTAGGGAAACATGAATTCGAAGTTATTTGACTATTAATTTTTTAAGCATATGCTCTTAGTGTAAAAAACATAGGTCTCAATTTTTTTGAAAACAACGAAAAACTTACAGATGGTAACCATGGCCACCCCCACGTGTCCAAACACTTGATCTGTCCTTTTGTCTTAAAAAGGTATGAAAAATATTTTGTGATTAAATTCTCTATGAGAATCTGATTAAGCTTCTAGATTGCTTCCCAAGAAAACACACAAATATATTTAAATACGGAACTCCTAAAGTTCACCGTTAACTCTGGCTGTGACCATTTTAAACAATGACTCCACAATGCTCTTTTTATTGAAACCAGTTCCTACTTGTAGACTGTCAGTTTACTTCTGGGGTTTAGTTATAAACAATGCTGTGACTTCATGTTGGTAGTGACATCTTTGCCCAAGTCTTTGATGATATCCTTGAGCTAAATTCCTTAGTGAGGATTGTCAGAGATACTAATATGCTCCTTAAATAGTCTCCTCTCATAGTGGCCGCATGATAGAGTTCCTTCTCTCAACAAACATATACCCTGAGGATAAACCAAATTTTGCAGTTGAAATTCTTTGTGTAAGTGATTCTTTAAAAGCCTTTAAAATACATGAATAGTTCTTGCTGTTTTATTAAGTATGTTTTGTTAAGAAAACTCTTCAAAACAGTTCAATCATTTTTTTATTGTCTGTCCCTTCTCTCCTTTTTAAAATTTATTTATTTATGCATACAGAACTGGGGTACAATCCAGAGGTGCAGAGGCAGTGAGAGGCTTCACCAGAGATAGAGTGGGGAGCAGAACAGGCAGATCCATGAAGTATACTGCTGAGGGGAGCAGTGGGCGGGTCAGGAGAGTTCTGCCGTGCCTTGTGCATAACGTGCATAACCTCCGGGGCAGGGGATCAAACTCTCACTGAAGTGGCTGCAGCTAGCTTGCAGTGCTGTGTCACCATTGCGCCACCAGGGAGAGCCCCTAAGTCATTTTTGTTCATGAACTCGGGGGTCTATATTATATTTTCCATTACTACAGATTTAGGAACTTAAAACAATATCTTATTTCTAGGCTCACAGGGTTTTTTTGTAGGTCAGAAGTCTGGAATTGGCATCCTGTGTTCTATGCTTGGTCTTATAAAGCTGTAATCAAGAAAGCAGTCACACTGTGTCATCATCTGCAGGCTCTGACAATAGACTACTTCCAAGCTTGTTCAGCTCATTGGCCTACTTCAGTCCTGCGGTTGTAGAGCAGATAACTTTCTTTGCTGGTTATCACTCAGGGAAATGTCAACTCTTAGATGCCCTCCCTCCTGCTTTCCTCACTACAAAATCCTACTGTTTTTCTGCAAAGCCAGCAGTAGAGAGTCATCCTCATATCCCTTTTCTACTCAAAATCTTCCATTACTACATTCCATACAACCACTAGTATATTAACAGGCCACCTGATTAGGTCCCATCCACTCAAATAATCTCCCTAACTTAAGATCACCTGATTTTAGGGAACCTTGATTACATCTGCAAAATCTTTCTATGTGGTAACTAGGTTAGAGTTTGGTTGAATACCAAGGAGGTCTGTGTATTTCAGAGGTAGGCCATCTTTGAATTCTGCCAGCCACAGTAAGTATCCCCTAATTTCAAAGGTCTTAGAGTGAGATTTTTGAAAATCACAGGGAATTCTGCCAATATCCATTCTATTTGACCTTGGTAAATGGTAAAGTTACTACTACTGTGAACAGGAAAGGCCCCCAGGTTCCTGAAGTTGAAATATGACTCTGCTACATCACTAATTACATTAGCTTAGATGTGTTGCTATATGTCTTTCTGCCTCAGTTTCTCAGCTGTAGAATAACAGAGATATTCTGAATATCAAGGATAACAATAACACTCTAATAAAGAGACCCACAGAAAAAAATAGAGGTTTTCTTATTATTAATATTTTATTTCTGATTTATTACTTTTTTTTTTTTTTTTTAAGATTTATTTATGTATACAGAACCAGGGTACAGGCCAGAGATGCAGGGGTGGTGAACGAAATCACCAAAGACAGAGTGGGGAGCAGAACAGGTCGACTGATGAAGTACACTGCTGAGGGGAGCAGCAGGGGGTCAGGAGAGCTCTGTTGCATCATGTGGATCACCTCTGGGGTGGGGATTGAACTCATGCTGAAGTGGCTTTAGCTTCTTAGTGCTGCGCTTTAACCCACTGCGCCACCATGGAGGACCACTATGTATCTTTTATGATGAGTTGCCACAAATCTACTTTGGAAAGAGTGGAATTTAATCTTTAATATGATATTTTGATAAAGTTCAGTTCTATCTTCAGCCCCTCAATCTTTGGTGGTATCTATAATTGTAAAGAGTTTTGCATGTATTAGGAATTATTTATAATGTTTTTCTTAATTTCTTCACACTAGGAAAAATTACAGGAATGCCTAAAGCAGCTGACGGAAGAAAGAGGAATAAGACTTAAGGCTGATAAAAGAGTCAGTGAGGTAAACGAATCTTTTGAGTTTTTTAATTTTATTTGATTTTCAGCTTTTCAAACAACTTTTTTTTAAGTTGTATTTATTTATGCATATAGGAACAGGCCAGAAGTGTGTGGGGTGAGAGGATTCACCAGAGACAGAGTAGGGAACAGAACAGGCAGAATGACTGAAGTACATTGGTGAGGGGAGCAGCAGGTGAGACAGGAGAAGTTGGCTGCACTATGTGGGTCGTCTCCATGGACAGGGATTGAACTCATGCTGCATTGGCTGCAGATAGCTTATTAGTACTGTGCTTTAACCTGGTATGCTACCAGGGAGGGCCCTGCAAAGAACTGCTAAACTTTAAGTGAGAAAATATACTATAAATTGGTTGTACCATATGAACTTTTATATTTAGTGATCAGTAAGCTATACTCCAGAAAGTATGTTTTTTATAAAAACATTTTAGGCCCTCCCTGGTGGCTCAACAGGGTAAAGCACAACACTGCAAAGCTGTCAGCAGCCTCTTCAGCACAAGTTCAATTCCTGGCCAAGGATATGACCCACATGGCACAGCAGACCTCCTGTCCCACATGCTGTTCCCCTCAGCAGTGTACTTCAATCTGCCTGTTCTGCTCCCCATGCTGTCTCTGGTGAATCCTCTCCCTGCCCCTGCACCTCTGACCTGTACCTCAGTTCTGTATGCATAAATAAATAAACCTTTTAAAATATATATTTTTATTAAAAAATCAAGATTTTTCATGTGTAGGATTTTTGTATGACTTTATCTTCCAGTCTGTTCATGGTGCCTCAATTTAACAAAGTGTTATGCTTACATTTTATATATCATAACAGAAGACATGGTAATGATACTACCTACTGACAATGAATTACAAAGGTGGATAATTCAAATAAAATATCAGATATTAGAGTGGCTAAGCATGAAAAAATATATTCTATGAGAATGACATTAGGCTTCTATGTAAGAAAGCAGTGTGTAAGCTGAAAGTTCTGTAAATATAATTATTACAAGCTGAGTTTCAGGAGGAATTTTTCTAGGTATTCATTGAATAGTCAGCTCCTAGGCTGGATATCAAACTTGTACTACAATGGTTACAGATAACTGCATAATGCTTAAGGTCCTGTACCACCAGAAAGCCCCTCTTTTTTAACATCAGTAGTACTGAGGTTGACAAACCCCTGGTTTAAATATTTAAGTTCTAGATCAAGCTACAAAAAGAAAATATATTCCACTTTTCTACCTAACAACATGGTGGTGACCTGGAATCCAGTTTCTAAGACTCCTCAGGCTCTGTAAAGCTTGCTTGGCACTGCACAGCCTACATGCCTTGCAAGAGCAGGCATATTTCCCAAATGAAAGCTCAAGCACTAGGACAGGGGTTATGGTGATTCCGCGACCAGTGGGGTGGCTTCTGCTCTGCTCTGAAACTCTTTTTAAAGGATTTTATTTTTTTACTCTTACCACCATTCCTTATATTCCTTGCCCCTTTCTCCTTCCCCCTCCCTCTTAACTTCAGAGCCCTGATTGTGTTTATTGCCACTTGTTTTTGAAAGTATTTGACTTTGTCAAATCCTCTATTGCATAAATGTCCAGTGTATATCTTTGCCATTCTGACTTGCTTTACTGTATACAATCCCCCTGAGCCCCCTCCATTTTGCTGTTTGACTGCATTTCATATTTTCTTACAGCTAAATACTATTCCATCTGTGTATGTATCACATGTGCTTGATCTGTTTACAGGCATTTTGACTGTTTCCCTTTTTAACTATTGTAAAGTTAGTGCCACAGTAAACATTATAGAGCACATACTTTTTTACATTGATGGTTTGTGTTCTTTGGATAGAGCTCATATAGTATTTCCATTTTTAGTATTTTAAAGGTAAATTCAAATCACTTTCCATGATAACTGTACCAGTTTAAGAAATAGAAATTTTCATTGTAAACTTAACCAGTAGAATGAGGATCTGTGATCTTTGTGAAACATCGTTAATAAAACAACCTAATTGTTGCATAAGGAAGTTTCCTGAGTTATTTCTGGATTTTGATTATTATGTGACATGGTCTCTGACTTTACTAGTGAATTAGATCATTAAAAATTACATTTTCAAATGTTTTTCATTTTGTTCCTTAAAACTTTTTTGATGGCAATGAGAGAAAACCATGTCAGACATTTTCAATCTTCTTTTATAGCTGGAACATGAAAATGCTCAGTTAAGAAATATAAATTTCTCTTTGTCTGAAGCTCTGCATGCACAGTCATTAACAAGCATGATCCTGGATGATGAAGGTATTTTGGGCAGCATTGAGAATTCTTTTCAGAAGTTTCATGCATTCCTGGATCTCCTTAAAGATGCTGGGTTAGTTTGTTTCTCTATGCACCATTTTTCCCTCTGACCATAATGGTAATTTGCTGAGGAACTTCAGCAATTTTTATTGCTTCTTTATCATATTTAGTATGTAGTTACAGGTAATATAATTTATTTTTTAATGGGAAAAAAACTTTAAGTAAAATGGTAAACCTGCCTTGGTAGAGCACAAGTGACCTGTAGTTAACCAGCAGGTACCTTTTGGTGAATACTAGATTGAAGGTAATCTTAATTGAAAATATTTAGGAATACATAGGAATTTCCCCATCTTATTCATTTTGCTTATTAAGTTTGAGTTATTTTTTTTTTCTTCCAGCCATAAAAATTTTATTAATCTGCAGGGCACATATAGGTAAAGATTAGTAGTTCTCAGCCAGGAGTAGTTTTACTAAAAAAAGGTGCTGAGAGAATTATAAATGGATAAGTGATAGCATGATGTTTTGTAGGTGAATGGGTTGCTACTGGGGAGGAAGGAGTAGGCGCACTTGTTGGGAACTGGCAGAAACATAGTCAAGAATGTGGAATGGAGGTGTGAGGCAGCAGACTAGTAATGTGGGAGGACTTGAAGCTGCTAGGGAGATATATCGAAGAAGAGGGAGTGCTTGAAGAGCCGCATCCTCTCTTGGCTCCCAGAGGTGAATGCAGAAAGAACTGAGAAATTGGGAAGATTTATAGACTGGAGCAGGATACTGACTTTTTTTTTTAATTTGTGTATTTATGTATACAAGAACTGGGCACAGGCCACAGGTGCGTGGGGAAGGGTGAGAGGATTCACCAGAGACAGAGTGAGGAGCAGAACAAGCAGATTGACTGATACATTGCGGAGGGTAGTAACAGGCAGGTCAGGAGAGGTCTGCTGCACCATGTGGGATACCTTCCTGACCAGGAATTCAACTTGTGTTGCAATGGCCACACAGCACATCTTTATGGTGCTGTGCTTTAACCTGTTGCACATTGGGGGTGGCCCAGGATACTGACTTTGAAGATTTTAAAAGTATTTCATGATTGTCGGCATGACACATCTAAGCTGTTCATGTGTGACTCTAATGACCCTTGCCTTTTTCTCCTTTCCTTCTCATGTCTAGGCTTGGACAGCTTGCCACAATTGCTGGTATAGATCAGTCAGATTTTCACTTACTAGGCCGTCCCCAGATGAATTCTACTGTTGGTAGTCTGCCTAAAGAAGAAAACAAGGCACTTGAGGAACAAAAACCAGAATCAAAACAGAATGCCTTGGGACAAATGCAAAATATCCAAGTGAGTAGACAGAATAGAACTTGCTGATTCTAAGGGTGATTAGCAAAAAGGAAATATCCAAATCAAACAAAAGAATAGCAATCTCTCTGCAATAGCAACTTCTCTGCAATAGTTCACATACATACTTGAACTCTAGAAGTCTTTTGGGGGCCCTTTCCAGATCTGATATTAGTGGATATTCATTAAATTGAAAATCATTTCATAATACTATTTTGTTGTAACTAAGAACACTGAGAGTTCTTTTGAAATTTATGATTTAAAGCTTAGAGAAAGTATTAGGAAGCTTAAGAAAGAAAGCTTAGGAGAAAGCTTAGGAAGAAAGCTTAGAGAAAGTATTCCATATTTTAAGTGGTATAAATATCTATTTTATCCATATTTCATCTAGGTTTCTATTTGTATGCAGTCAGCTTTCAATGAAGGAACACTAATGAAGGTACAAGTACTGATATAGATAATATATAGATAATATTTTATAGATAATAAAATATAGATAATATTTTAAAATAAGCAATCCTGGCATGAAGATTATAACAAGTAACCCTTTATGGGACCGGGAGGGGAAAACCTTTCTGCTTTTCCTCCAGCCAGGCTTGGTACTTCCACCTCCTTTCTCAGCTAACTTAGACTGGTCTTGGGTACAGACACCTTGAGAAACAAATTGAAAGCTATTAATATGTACATGTTGCCTGAATGCCAAAAATAAAAATAAAAAAATCAGGGGGTAGGGTTTTATTATTTTGAATGACAAAAAGGGGGAAGGGTTATAATTGCCCAAGCACAAAGAAAATGTAGTCGACGAAAGCCTTTGGATACAGCTAAGTTGGGACTTACTTGAAAAAGTATCATTAGAAGTCAACTTGGCTCTAAAATCTTTTGAATGATCAGCTGACTGTCTTAATAAGATCACAGAGTAACTTTGAAGTTTTAGACTCTACTTTTTCATGGATGGCTTTATCATAACTGAGGTTTTGTTTCTTATGTTTATCCCTACAGTTTCAGAAAATTACAGGTGATGCTACAATTCCTTTGCCTCTTGACTCCTCTATCCCAGCTGCTACTCAGGGGGCTTTAGAAACTTCCAACGACAACCTGAAGTTCCCAGTCACTGAGCAGCGGCTGGAGTCTGTCCAAGAATTCATTGCTAGAACATGTTCTCCTGTGCCAGGTGGGATTTCTGGAACTGGAAGTCAAAGAAAAGAAGAGGAGTTGTCTAGAAATAGCAGCTCTTCTTCAGAGAAATTGGCCAAAACAGGTGAATATACCAAAAAACACGCTACTAAGAAACAACCTGGAAAGGACCAGCCTTCCTGCTCTGACTCATCTGTAAGCCTGAAAAGCAAAGGAGTCAGGCAGAATAGCTCTGTGGTTAATGAGCCAGTGAAAAGTGAGTCTTTGAAAAAACACATTTCTGTCAAGAAAGAAAGTAGAATAGTGACTGTTTCATCTAAGACAGCTAAAAGTAAACTCAATCTACTAGAACACTCGGAAAGTGATACCCTTGGCTCTGATTTTGAATTTCAAGAAAGCATCCATACTTTATCACGCTTGACATAAGTCTAAATCTTTGGAAATTATGTTTCTGCCTTCAAATTTTAATAAATTTCTTATGATTTTACTATTGCATATGGTGTTTTAAAATACAGGGGTGAAAGCCATTAGAGAAAGATTTATGTGTACTTTTTATTTTAATGAAATATTTGGTACATTTTTTCTTTAGACACCTTGCACCACGCATTCAACAAGTACTTACTGAGGGCGTAAAATAGCCTGGGCAACATGGCTTGGTAGTGCTGATATATGAACCAAAACCCATGCTCTTAGTCACTTTTTTATCCTGTTTCCTTGTTAAGTGAAAAACCCAGTGAGTACCAGATGTGCAAAAGAGTGGGTCTGTCAGGAAACACAACTCCTCCCTTCCCCACATGAGTAGGATTTTGAAAAGGCAGAGTATGTTAAAGAACAACTTTTGGGCTAAATCATGCCTCCCTGATAAAACATACACAGTCTTAATTAAACTAGACTGGCTTTAGGGTATCTAAAATATGGAGCATCAGATTTAGTTTAGAAGGTCCTGCCTGATTGTTATCAGGGTACTACTAAAATACTGTTTAATTCTAATTAAGGATTGAGTGTTATGGAAATAAAACAATGAGCAAGATGTAGTCTTAGCCCTTTAACAGTTAAGTGAAAGAGGCAGTCATTCATGCAAATGTCTTAATACAGCAGGATGTATGTGTTGATGGGGATACTTAGGGAATTTAGTGTTTGGGAAGAGAGAGAGTGCTGTGGGCCCACATTTACCTAAAGAGGTAATACATAAGCAAAGTCTTAAAGGATTAATTAGAAGCTGGGGATACTCAAAGCAGAGGAACAGCATAAGCAGAAGTAGAGTCCTAAGTGAGAGAGTGGTGTGTTTGGGTAACCAGAGACACGGGTAGTTTAGAATTAGTGGAATGTCATCAGGCAGGTGATGCTCATGTAGATGGCAAGGAGTATAACAGGTCTCACGACCCTGGTGCATGTAGCTCGTTCCTTTTGCTGAGGCAGTAGCTAATAAATGGGTTGAAGAAAGTAAATGACATGTTTGGATTTGCATTTTAGATCATGAGCGTCAGTGTGGAAGATTGATTTGAAGGATGGAGATATAAATTAATGCCACACTTCTGAGGAACATTTTTTAAAAATTTTTATTTTGATGTGAAATTTAAACTCTTCCTGTCCAGTCCCTACTGAAAGGGTTCCATGGGCAAACATAAGGGAGACTCTGACTTGAAGAAAATTAAGCAAATTTCTTTAAAAGTTCTCAGGCTGTGGCCCTTCCTGGTGGCGCAGCGGGTTAAAGCACAGCACTAAGGAGCTTAAGCCACTTCCGCATGGGTTCGATCCCCGCTTGCCCCGGAGGTGACCACATAGCGCGGCAGACCTCTCCTGACCCATCCGCTGCTCCCCTCAGCAGTGTACTTTGTAGATCTGCCTGTTCTGCTCCCTACTCTGTCTCTGGTGAACCCTCTCACCCTCCGCGTCTCTGGCCTGTACCTCAGTTCTGTATGAACAAATAAAAATAAAATCTTTTAAAAAAAGAAAAAATGTCTTGCTTAAAAAAAAAAAAGTTCTCAGGCTGCTTCAAGTTAATGTTCATTCTGTATCTCTAAAATAGGCATATGATAGGCAGTCTTCCTCAAATATATTTGGTTACAGAATCTTTTTTTAACAGAAATACCTAGCAACAAGTTCCACCAGAAGCCAATGTGGTAGCTTCTAGATGAGGGAATAACAATCAGACAAAGGGGTCTGAAGTAAGGTTTAGGTGAAGGTAGGAAATTAGTGAATTTTATATAAGAAAAAAAGTAAGATTTAGGTAAGAGAAGGAAGAAGGCAGAGGCTAGACTCCCATTTGTGTATCATTGGGGCTAGAAATGATAAAGAACTACTACATTGGGTAGAAGAGTTTGGCTTGGACATTGAATTTTATAGCACCAATAAAATTCAGGAGGTAGCTGGTAGATATAGACAGATAAAGAAAGACAAAGACTTGAATGTCTTTAGTACATAAACAGTAGTTTAAATCATGGAAGTGGATGAGGTTACAGGGAACTGTTGAGGTTTTCAAAATTTAATAATGGGAAAAGGGATTTTGAAAAGGAAAGAGATGAGAGACTTTCATGAAGGAAGAAGATAGCAGTGACACGCTGCAGAGAATATAAGTGGCAGTTAGACCTCTGGTGACTTTAATGAGAGCAATTCAGTGAAGTGGTGGATGAGAAAGGAAGGCTGCAATAAGCTGAAGGAATGGTGAAGACTGGATCTAAGCTATTCTTTGGAGGAGTTGGGATAATAAAACAGTTACCTAAACATTTTTTTTAGAAGGAGAAGGACTTAAATGTTATCGGTTGAAAGATAGGAACAGTTAAAGTTGAGATACTGCAGGTGCTGAAGAGTGAGAGTCTCATCTATGCAGTAAAATCTCAGAGGAGGGAACATGAGATACGCATGAATGCTCTTAAGACTGAAAGAAAGATCTGAACAGATGGGGATGATTATTTGATTCCTCAGTAAACTGAAGGCGGCTTGCCTACCTACATGTAGTGCACAATGACTAGATAAGTAATTTAGAATCTGGAAAACATGGCTAGGAAAAAAAGGTGGTGTAGGGATCACATTGAAAAATACATAAAAATGAGTTATGTACTTAGAATTAAATGGATACTGGTAAGTTTGGAGGGAAAAAAAATAGGAAAAGGTAGGCATTAAATGAGTTTGTACTGATAACCTGATTTCTTTGACCACAGATTTCTAGAAAGACTGGTGCACAATTACAGTTTCAACATTTTTTTATCTTTTACCAATTATTTGAAATTATTCCATTAAGAATTATAAATAGGGATATTTTATAATTATATATGCAGATATATTCCTGGAATGATTGTTAAGCTCTTAATATTAATCCTGAAGCAATGGTACTTGATATATTGTTTTCATTTGAATTAGAGAAAGTTAAGGATGTGTACCTTTACTGAGAGGCTACCAAAAAAAAATATAGGCAATTTATCCAAACAGGAGTTTTGTTTTTTCAGTGTCAGATGTGATACTGCAGCAAGGAGCATATTATCTTGCCCTAAGTCCGCCCATAATTCCTAGTGGTCAAAAATTACTATTGTATATCTATTCACCACCATATAAATAATAATCAATCTAATTTCAAATGAATAGTTACAGAAAAAGCCCCAATTTCAAAATAGTAATTCTTGATTTTTTTTTCAAAGATTTTTTTAAAATCTCCGCATCTCTGGGGTACAGGCCAGAGATGCGGAGGGTAAAAGGATTCACCAGGGACAGAGTGGGGAGCAGAACAGGCAGATCAACAAAGTACACTGCTGAGGGAAGCAGCGGGCGGGTCAGGAGAGGTCTGCCTCGCCATGTGGTCTCCTCCGGGGCAGGCGGGAATCGAACTCATGCAGAAGTGGCCTCAGATTCTCAGTGCTGTGCTTTAACCCGCTGCGCCACCAGGGAGGGCCTGCTTCTTAGTGCAGTGCTTTAACCCACTGCACCACCAGGGAGGGCCAATTCTTGATTTTTTTCAGAGGATCTGCAAGATAAAGAGATGATAACAGGGCCCTCCCTGGTGGCGCAGCCGGTTAAAGCACTGCACTAAGAAGCCAAAGCCACTTCCTCATGAGTTCGATCCCCGCCTGCCCCGGAGGTGACCATATGGCGTGGCAGACCTCTCCTGACCTGCCCGCTGCTCCCCTCAGCAGTGTACTTCGTTGATCTGCCTGTTCTGCTCCCCACTCTGTCTCTGGTGAAGCTTCTCACCGCCCCTGAGCCTCTGGCCTGTACCCCAGTTCTGTATGTACAAATAAATAAATCTTTAAAAAAAATAAAAAAAAAGAGATGATAACATGTTTAAAAGATTTTGATTTAAACTACATGCTGGAATTATGATTTAATGTGGGTAACTGAACACATTCTTTTACTCTTCCAGAATTCCATTAAAGTGACTGCAGAAATTTTAAAACAAACAGAGTTTGAAAGCAGAAAATGAACAATGTGGGATTTCTAGAAGACAGAAAGCAGATTATTGAAAGATCAATTAAAGAGTGGGGCAACTAAGCCTTCCACTTATCTCTGAAGTACTTAATTTGGGAGTTTGCCACCATGCTTTGGCTAAGAAAGCCTCTCTGTGAAGTGGGAGTTCTGATACAGGAAACAATGGGGCTGGAGAATAAGGGCATTGTCCAACTTGACTACAAAGAGAAACTGAAGATAAAACTGGCCACAATTGTCTGGATAGAGTGAACTGCCATTCCCTTTATATAATCACCGGAGGTGCCTATGATCAGGATTTGTGTTCATTGACAGTGAACTAGAATTCTCATTTGGTGAAGGAAAAGCACTTAAAACTTTAATCTTAGGTCCTCAGCTATGAATATGAACCTCCAAGAATCATCAAATTTGAGAAGAAAAGACATTAACAAAAGGAGATTCCAAATTAAATTGATGCACTATTCACAAAAATAGTTACTAAAGTAACAAATTTTTAAATGAATACAGTTAAGAACTTCAGAGATTCTTATAATTTCTTCCATAAAGAATATGATTCTAGGGGGCCCTCCCTGGTGGCACAATAGGTTAAAGCCTATGAAGCCACTGCAGCACGAGTTCAAGTTCAATCGCTGGCCCAAGAGGTGACCTACATGGCATGGCAGACCTCTTCTGACCTGCCCCCTGCTCCCCTCAGGAGTGTATTTCAGTGGATCTGCCTTCTCTGCTTCCCACTCTGTCTCTGGTGAATGCTTTCATCCACCACCCCTCTGGCCTGTACCCCAGTTCTTGTATGCATCAGTAAATAAATATTTTTTTTAAAAAAGGTATGTAGTAAAGAAATATTAAGAGTTTCTGTAAAGGTAAGATTTGAAAATAAAACAAGTTGAACTACATAGAATGGTTTTAGTTAAGATTAAACTCATAGAATGGAAGCTTTGCTTGAGGGAATCCCTTAATATGCACTGTAAAACAATGAAAGATAAGTTACAAAAGAAAACTCCTAGTAGAACACAATAGTTGGCATGATAAATGCAAACAATGAAACCATACAAATAGCTATGAGCATCGTAC